AAAAAGAGATAGTATCGGTATGTGTATTCTCTTGTTCTCTAGGGCAAACCGGGAGGTCGTATCTGTGGAGAAGGTGTCGGAGGGAATCCTCATCTGTCCCATGAATGTCAAACAGGCGACGCGAAGTGTCATTGACGCCTATGCCCTGACAAATGTCGACTGACATCGACATGACGCATTATATGGCTGCTTGCAGCCGGCTGTTAGTCGCGTCACGATGTCGCAGTTGTCACAGGCGACCTCAACGCGATGGATGGCTCCGGGTATAGCACATGTCCGGGCATACTCGGCCGTCGCGGTACTTATAGTGTGAAGGGTAACGTCAGGCGCTGTTAAAATTTTTGACGACAGTTTAATCGCTGGAGGGACTCTTTTTCCTGAAATGCATATTCACCAGAATGCCTGTACGTTCGCAAACCAGGACAGCCTGAAGTCGACTGCTGTCATTAGCAATCCAGGTCTCCGTCACAAAGCTCCTATACTCCTTGGCTATATTGTTCACGAGTTACTTTTTATCTGCCCATTTATTTTAGCGTTTTAAATGCGGTAACCGTATCTACCTTGCATCATTCTTTACAAAGAACGGTCAGTTGAAGCTGTTTCTGCTAGAAACGGATCAGACTACATGCCTTGAAAGTTTATGAACTGATATTCGTTACAAGAAATTTTGCAAATTTAATTTTATTGCACATTGCTGATCGGAGGTCAATCGTAGAGAACAACATTATATATACGTGAAGCAGTGCAAATACCTAGAAACCGTTATTGTTAGAAAGCAACCTGTAGTTGCATTACCACGTGGTACAACATAATATGGGTTATATCTTCTGCTAACTGTGATTAATACCCAGCTAACAGGTCGGTCAGGGGCATTGCAATCTTAAGAGGCTCCTGCACCGGACAGCATAGCCGTACCTTTCCCTTGTTCTGGTATGACAGTGCCATGCGGTCCATGTTGTTCGCAACTCTCTGTTTCTTAGTTGTTTGCACTGAAACAAAAGGGTGGGGGTAAATTAATTGCTTAAGCGAATTATCGGTTGAAAAACATTTTTTAAAATTTTAACCATTCACCGTTTGAACTCGTAACTGCGCCACTGCAAGCTCGGTAACGACATACTTTGAAGTTGTCAGGGCGTCGCATTTTGTGTGGAAACGTTTGGTCGTCAGAGTCCCTAATTCAGTGACAGAAATTTATCATTTTTCATATCTTTCCGTCTAGAATTTTTTAATATTCATCGCCTAGGCCTCCTCGTTAAGCACTATGCTAGCTTGGCATGTGTCATGCTATGAATAATCTATGTTCGCAGTATCTCGATTCATTAATTTGTAGATGGTGTTTACCGAGAATGGCAAAGACAGGGCATGAATACTTTGGGCAGTTTAAAAATATCCTATAGAGTAGTCTTTAGCCCGATACTCGAATGTCCGGTCCACAGCACCTGCTCAAACCTTCAAAAATTTTGCATTCTCAAGTACTCATCTCATGTATTGAAGCTTTCAACCTTGCCCTTCTCTCGGCGTGGCTGAATCAACAATTTCTGTTAATTTAATGGATTTGTAATCAGAGCTTGTAAAGTGCTCTCAGTGGTGTATTCTTGCTTCATTTAATTTAATGTTGCCTTCATTATTTTGTTATGAACGATATCCATTGCGTTGGAGCTTGAGCAACAAATTATCGGTGTCATCCAGTCGCGAAAACACCTTTCATCTAATTGCTCCGTTGCTACGTTTCAAAATACTAGAACAAAACAATAAATAAACTTCCCTTGTACTTGTAAAAGAAACGGTAAAAATATTTTCCTGTTCTAGTAACGTATCATACTCCGTTGCATGCGAGACGAATTTCCTTTCAAAAACGGATATTTCGTGAACTTACCTTCGCCGTGCATTTAGCTGATTATTTTTATTAATTTT